CAATAACCAAGGGGAGACTTGACCATTTACTGGGATTTGTAGAAAATAATTTATTTATTTTTTGTGTACTGGGGATTGAACTCTGGACCTAATGCATGCTTTACAAGTGACTTGTTCTCCTAGCCCTTAAGAAACAAATTATTAACCCTCATAAAAAAAGGCTGCAGAGGTAGCTCAGTCATTGAGCAATTGCCTAGCCTGTGTGAGCCCTGGGATCAATCTCCAGCACTGAAAAAAAGAAAAAGTCTAAAAAATGGAATCAGATATCATTATTATTATTATATATAAATGCTCATTAAGGTTATTTATAAGCAATGCTATTTGGAACTAGAGATATGAAAAAAAGAATCAGCTTAAAACACAAGCATGTTTCTTACATTTATAAAGTAATCACTAATTAGAACATTCAGAATCCTCTCGCTCATACAACCTATCTACAGAGACTGTACCTATCTGCAGAGACTGGAAATTTGAAAATTATTTCCATGTTTGCTGTGGACATGTGCAAGATTTACTGAAGTTTTATCCTGGTTAAAAGACAGAACAAGTTATAGGAAACTACAAAGAATCAATGCTTCAGAACAGAGAAGGGAGGGGCTAAATAAGGATGTAGCTCGGTGTGGAGTGCTTGCCTAGCTGTGCAGGGTGCTGAGTTCCATCCCCAGCATTGCACAAAAAAACAAAAACAAACAAACAAAAACAACTATTAACAAGGTCCAGCTTTCTAGTGCTCTGTACTGTATTTTGCCTGGTTACCACCTCTAATATTTCCAGTTTTAGCCTTGAAACTTACATTCATGCTTAAAATTCCAGTAGATTCAATGGTCTCAGTAGCTGTGAGCAAGATCACCAATTCAAAACACATTTACTTAGAGTTTACAATGTATTCTTAACCATTCTCCAGCTGGGCCTTTCTGCTACTTTATAAACAAATACAAAAAATTAAACAGGAGCTTTTTATTTTGCCGTATTGTGTCTCCACTAAATCCAAAAGAACAGACCTAAACTTTTTCCTTTAGGTGGTTTACGGGAGATATGCTGAGACCGACAAGTGGCACTAGAAACCCATAAACTTGACAGTGAGTATAAGCGAATTTTACAAAAATGACCTTGCCAAGCCTCATTTATTTTTATTTTTTTTACAGTTTTTAATATCTCATTCATTAATACTGCTAGTTTCTAAATTACTTATATAAGTCCAAACACAGAGTTATCTCATCAGATTAATACTCTCAATATAACACAGGTTCTACAAGAGCTCTGTGAGTTCACAATTCATTTCAAGCTTATTTCCTGGCAAAGATCTGTGTAAAGCTATAAACTTCAGAGTTGACCAGAATTAGAGTATTTAGGTACAAAACCACTGATTGCTATTGTTTATGGCTTACTAGCATGACCATGATTCATAAAAAGTACCAATTAGCAGTACTGAGACCATGGATTTCTTCTTCACCATTCATTCATTCAATCAATACTAGGTATTCATAATTTGTCAGTACTGCATTAAGTGCTAGGGATAGAACTATGAGTAAAAAAGACCAGAATCCTCTAGAAAGACAGACAATAAGAAAAATGAAATCATAATAAAGAATATAAATCACTACTGTGACATATGCTATGAAGTACAAGAACCAACAACGGAGGATGTGACTTAGGGAGGTCGGGAAAGCCTTCCCTGAAGGAACTATTTTAAGCTAAGAGTTAAAGGACATGCGGAAGAGGAAGATAGGTGGGAAAACATTGCACAGAATGGTTTATGTAAGAAAGGCACTATGAAAGATTATCAAAAGAAAGCAATTAGAGCTCCAGCAATGGGAATGAGGGACAGAGTTCAGGTATAGACAAGGGTCACATCACCCTGTAGGCTATAGGGATTTTGATCTTATTCTAAGAACAGGGGAGAGGCCTTAAAGACTTTATAGCAAAATGGGGATGTATCAGACTTGCATTTTATTCAACTTCACTGAGGTGAGAAAAACAGATTGGAGAGACCAAAGTGGGCTACTGCAGTTGTCCATGTAAGAGATGATATAGTCTTCTAAAAAATTAGTGTATATCAATTGTACAGGGGACTTTACTGTGGTATTTTCATATGTACATATAATGTACTTTGATCAAACTCAGCCCCTCTTTCTAACCTCCCATTTCCCTCCTCACTTTTTTAATACAAATTTTAGCAGGTTTCATTATTTCGTACATACATATAACATACTTCAATCGTATTCATCTCTCTCACTGAGATTCTCCTTTTCCTTTCTTCTCTCCCACTGGTTCCTCCCCTCAAACAGTCCTCCTTTTATACATGTCATCTTATTATTTTTAAGGTCTATTCCACACATGAGAGACAATGTGATATTTGTATCTGGCTTATTTTGCTTAACATGATGATCTCTAGCTCCATCCATTTTCCTTCAAATTTGCATTCTTCTTATGGCTAAATAGTACTCCGTTATACAGACATGTCACATTTTCTTTATCCATTCACACAATAGTCTTTTTGGCTATAGTGGTGCTGATATGAGTAACAAGAGGGAAAATCTATTTGACTGGGAGTATGGCTCAAGTGGTAGAGCACTTGCCCAACAAGTGCAAGACCCTGAGTTCAAACCTCAGTACTGCCCAAAAAAAAAAAAATCTATTCACTGTGCGGGAAGCATAAACACATTAATATTACTGTGGCAGATGGGAAAATCCATTTTTAGGGTACTACCTCTGAATCCACTAGAGATAAAAGGTTAAAGCTTGTTTTTAAGCTTGACATAAGGTGTCAGTTAATTCCTTTTTAATGTTTCTTTGTGCCTTATGGGTGTGTTTGGGCCTGTACTGTTCACTTTTGTATAGATGATGCAGACTTAACGATTACATTTCATTGTCAGTGCTTCTGGGTATTTTTATGATTTATCTGGTCTATCATTAGCAAAAAAATACATACAATTAGTACCTACTTTACACAGGGCATTGTGCTAGCCTTTCATTGAAACAGTCCTCATCTTCAAAGATACATACTAGCTAAATAGACAGGACTTAGCCCCAAAAGCAATCACCAAATCTTCTGCAAGGTAGGTCTCCTTTTGTTCCTATCACAAATGGCTTGTTAGTAAGTTTCAAAGCATGCTTGGTTTATTATGTTTGCTGTGAAACATTAGAACTTTGACAAAGGTCTGGCTGCTTTCTTAAATACAAGAGTCAAATAGAGATTGGAGACATTCTGTGACCCTGGCCAAGAGCGACTCAGATGTGATGAATTTATTATAAAGTAATAGAAGGAAAGTAGGAAAAGATGACTGAAGACTGTATCTGAGGAAGATGCATACGTTCAGAGTGTTTCCATTTTGAAGATGTTCAAGCCTAGACAAAACCAAATTACATTGTTCAGACATGCAAAAGTAATGAGCTAAATATAGAGAAACGCAAGAACACAATCACCATAAAAATTAGGACAGTGGACATTCATCAAGGAGGGAAAGGGCTGTGACGGAGGAGGACACATGAGGAGGAGGACACAGGGGCGTCTGGGGTATGGTAGTGTACTACCTCTTGACCTAGGTGGTGTTTACATAGGGATTTACCCTTTAATTAGTTTTTAAATTAAGTATTTTTTTTTTGTTATTTTCTTGGCTGTGCTGGGATGGAACCTAAGGCTTTACGCTTGCTAGGCAAGCTTCCAACTACTGAGCCACATGTCCAGCCCAATTGTTTATTAAAAGATATGCATGTATTATACATACTTCTTTTATGTATGATGCATTCATAATGAAAAATGCTTTTAAAAAGTACCTATGTGAACAAAGAAGACAGGACTTTGATTGGTTCTGCCAGCCCTTTTTGTGTTGGTTATTTCTGGGATAGTTTACTTTCTGCCTGAGTCAGAATCCTCCTATTTTATGTTTCCACATAGCTGAGATGATAGGCTGAGATGGAGTTTTGTGAACTTTTTGCAAGAGCTGGCTTCAAACCGCAATTCCCTCAATCTGCCTCCTAAAAAGCACTAGTAGCTGGTGCTAGGCTTAGACTAATACTCTTTAGGAAATATTTGTTATTTTGATGAAGCGAACTTTTCAGATTATCTAGATCACTTTACATAATGAATTTCAGGTGAATGGGCTGTATTAACATTTCAGTTATTTCTCATCAGGAGACAGTCACATTCTTGGAGTTGAAACTTGGGCTAGCCTTAAACCTAAAATACTTGACATGATTGTTACTAAAAATCTTTGTCCACTTCTCTGAATAGCTGTCTGTTCACCTGTTTGTCCATCCATCCATCCATTCATCCAATATTTATCTAATTCCTGCTATTATCACACGTTATACTAGTTCCTGGGAACAGAGCAATGAGCAAGATAGACAACTCTGTCCTCATGATGCTTATCCTGAGGGACACAGATGAATAAGAAAACTTTTTAGTTAATTACAACTGTGCTAAGTGCAACAAAGTACAAACACGGGGTGCTAAGAGATCATAAAAATAAAAGCCTGCAGCCAGGCACCAGTGGCTCACGCCTGTCATCCTAGCTACTTAGAAGACTGATCTGGAGGACAGCAGTTCAAAGCCAGCCCAGGCAAATAGTTTGTGAGACCCTATCTCAAAAAAAAAATCCATCACAAAAAAGGGCTGTGGAGTGGCTCAAGGTGTAGGCACTGGGTTCAAGCCCCAGGACCGCAAAAAAAAAAAAAAACAAAAAAAGGATAAGTAAAACCCCGCACTTATTGTAGGAGAGGGGAACAGCACACAGACATCCCACAGAGCACAGAGCTTGGCATCCACAGGAAACATTCAGGGCACGACTTCAACCTTTAACTTTCTTGGACCACCACTGACTTGAATGAAGCCTAGAATCCTGGGACTGACATTTCATTGCCTTTGCAGTAGGCATCATTTTCTTGTGGAAAAACTAGGGAAATCAAGCATATTCTCCAAGTAATAGCTGTGCATTAAGAATGTGTACAGCTCAAACTTTATTCATCTTATCTATCTCAATGATTCTCTTATTACTCACAAAATAAACTGCTCCAAAACTTCCATGTCCAATTTCATGCAGATCAATGAAAAGCTCTTCAGGATCATCTTTGTAGAACAGGTCAGCAATCTCTGGGTCCTTCGGCACCCCTTTCGGCATGGTGACCTCCACTGTGAGCACTTTGCCTTCTGAGAGCCCAGTAAGTTGTATCTCGCATTGAGGGCTTTTTAATTTTTACCAATCTTCAGTACCTATAGAAAAATGGGTTTAACCATTGAATTATTTATAACGTTTTTTGTTTGATAGCAATACAAATATTAAAAAGTATCTTGGGCTTATAACTCCATATAAGAAAGACAAGAAACTCAAATGAAAAATAGGCAAAGTATCTGAATAGACATTTCTGCAAAAAACACACAAATGGCCATTAACATATGTAAAGATGCCCAGCATCATTAGTTTATGAGAGAATGAGAATTAAAATCACAGAGATACCATTTCCTACTCGCTAGGATGGTTATAATCACAATGATAAGTATTGCCAGGCACAGTGGCTCATTGCCTGTAATCCCACAACCAGGGAGGCAGAGACTGGGAGAATCATGATTCCAGGCCAGCAAAAAGTCAGTGCAATTCCATCTCAATCAATAACTAGGCGTGGTGGTACATGGGAAGTGTAAAGTAGTAGGATCACAATCCAGGTTGGCCTGGGCATAAATGTGAGACCCTATCCCCAAATAACTAAAATAAAAAGAGCCAGGGTGTGGCTTAATTCTAGAGCCTCTCCCTGCGTTCAACCCCAGTTATCACTGGAAAACAGCAGTTCATCAAACTTAAACACTGAGATACCATTTACCCAAGAAATACCATTCCTAGTATATACCCTAGAGTAATGGAAACATACAACCACACAAAAACTTGTGCCCAAGCATTACTCATAATAGCCAGAAGGGGAAATAATCCAAATATCCATTAACTGGTAAATGAATAAACAAAATGTGGACTATCCACACAGTGGATTATTACCCTGCCATAAAAGAGGATAAAGTAATAGTTCATGCTACAACATGAATGACCCTTGTAAATATTATGCCAAGTGAAAAGGGCCACCACAAGAGACTACATATGGTATGACTCCATTCATATAAAATTCCCAGAATAGGCAACTCAACAGAGACAGAAAGTAGATCTTTGGTTCCTAGGAGGGTTGGGGAGTGACAGGTAAGGGGTATGGGGTTTCCCTTCAGGGTGATAAAATGTCACAAAACTGACTGTGGTGATGATTGTGTAGTTCTGTGACTGTACTAAAAACATCAACCACACATGTTGAATGGGTGAATTACACAGTATGTACATTGTATCTTAACAATGCTGTTACCAAAAAGTACTTTGGTAAAATCAATATTAAATAATACTATGCATCAGGTACAGTAAACACCTTCCATGTACTGTCTGTCTCCTTTCATCTCCATAGCAGTTTCAGAATGTTTTGACTTCATCTTAATTTTGTAGAACAAACTAAGCCTTTGAGGGGCAAAGCTACTTCCCCATAGTCAGAAGGCACGATTCCAAACCAAGACCTAACAAGACCCATGCTTTTGTTTTCCATATGACATAGTCATACAATTCTTTATTACCCAGTAGAAGAAACTACTATAATCTGAAAATTATGCTAAATAGCCCCTTAACGAGGCACCTGTTCCACTGCTATACTAAACACTTTGAGCTCAAAGTTCTGATTTTAACTTGCCTATGTTAATCTGCCAATAGTTACATATATTTATTTAGTTTAAGTGTATCCTTTTCCTTATCTTTTGAAAAATATTAAAATGTTAACTTTCATCTCTACTTTTTGTTGTAAATAATATCTCCCTTCTGCACACAGATAATTACTCTTCTCTTCCCGTGATAGTTCACAGTAGAGTTTGTGTTTCTTCCTTGACCCACGAGCTAACTAAGCTATAAGTCTGGCTGTTGGTCAGTAAGAGTACTTTTTCAAAGCATGAGCCAATGGGTTTCGTTCTAGAAGAGAAAAAGGTCATCAATTTAAAAAGTGAAACTGACAGTGCTAAGAGGTATTTTTCTCTTGTGACGTTAACAGCGTTGGGTGACAATGTACGTTACTTTATACATTTAGTCTAGCTAACATTAGCACATGCAGGTCAACAACCTGACAATCTGCCCACCTACCAACTCTTTCTTTCATTCAAGAAATACTCATTGAGTGCTTACTATGTGTCACACACCATGCTGTGCTGGGTGTTGGAGACAGAATGTGTTTCCCATCCTTAAAGGGCTTAAAGTCAAATGGGTAACAGACATTAAATTATAATAGCACAAATGACACAATAGCTATAGCTGATTGTTATTATGAAGAAAAAGCAAATATTTTAAATACAAAGATATAACAGTCTGACTCAGAGTAGTTAAGAGCACTCCCATTAAGGAAAAAATAAAAGTAGTTCACTTAATATGATCAATGAAAAAGCTGGAAGGAGAAAACACAAAACTGCTGTTAAGCCAAGGAAAATCACAAAAGGTCTTTTACACCATATTAAGAACTCTGGACTTTATCCTGAGGGCAACAGGTTGCCATGGACGGCTTCAAATAGGAAAAGGGATGGCCTGCCAACACTGCATCTGTTGTGCTGGGCAGCTGTCCCGCCAATGCGTGGGCACCAGTACCCAGCATAAAGCCACTGCATCAATACTGTGAGAGAAGTAACTGAAGTCTAGTCTGTCACTCAGGGAACAGAGAAGACAAAATGAGAGCTCAAAAAGTGTTTTTGCCTCCATTGTTTATGTCTGAGAACAGAAAAAGACAACAGTGGAGTAAATCAAAGACATGCCTTTTTGGGGACTAGGAATAAAAACAATTGAGACAGACTTTAAGAAAAACAAAAAGATCTAGGATCTACGTTTATGGGAGCTAAAATCTTTCCAATCACTGAAACACATTTTAAACTTTTGCATATTTTGGCTTCAGTGAGCACAAAGCTTAGTATTGTGGACAACCATTTGGAGTAAAAACATGGATGAGTATGCCATAATGTAGACTAAAATGACTTCTGAAGAAATAAATATTTAAATGAAAAGATAGGACCATAAAAGCTTCTAGAATTAATTAAAGTGAATACTTAATTACTAAGCAATATATAGAGGCAATAGTTATAAACTAAAATCAATAATCTTGACTATATATAATTAACAACTTCTTTATTAAAAAAAACAACATAATGAAAGGATTTCTGTAAGATGGAGTAACAGTAAAGGACTTCTGTAGATTTATTATCTGTCACCAGGAACAGCTAAAACACTGGATAAAACATGAATGATAGTATCTGAAGACAATGGCTACCAGGCAAATAAGGACATAGAGCCCTGACATAAGAGAAGCAAATGATGGGAGCCACACTGCCCCCTGCTTCGTGCCCTGGAGTTCCCAGACCATGGTGATAAGAGGACTTGTCCAGTTAGAAGCTTGGGGGGTGACTAAGAAAAGAGTGGTGTAAGGAGAGGTGACATGGATCTGCAGAGGGCTCCCCTCCATCTTTAGCAGGGTACTGATTAATGCACAAACGTGAGAGAACCTCCCCTGTCCAGGAAAACACTACCTGAAAGGAACAAAGCAAAAGGCATGGGAGCGACAAAGGGCTGTGCATGGTGGCTGCTCCCACAAGCCCAGATAGGAAAGCTCCAGGCTCATGGGCATCCTTGAGGGAATGCAGAAGAGTCCTGTCTTATTTAGGGAATGATTCACTATAGACTCAACACTGGTCTGTGATGTCTAACAAATTTTAATAGCAACACCTAAAAGGAGGAAATTATTTCCAAGTAACAGAACTGTATCCCAAGATCAAGTTCAGGAGCATTTAAAGAAATATAAAAATATTCAGCATCCAAAACAGTAAAATTCACAATGTCCAATTTTCAATAATAAATTATCAGGCATTCATAGTAGCAGAAAAACATGACTTATAATGAAAAAAATAACTGAAATCAATGTCGGGACATCAGGATACAGTATAACTATATTCCATATATTTAAAAAGTTAGAGGAAATAATGAACACACAAAGTAGAGAGAGATATAAAGAGACTCAAACTGAACCTCTGGCTTGAAAAGAAAAATGTACAGCATGGGATGAAGACTAGATGAGACTTTGCAGCAAGAAGGTTAGTGAACTTGAAGATCTACCGAGAGAAACAGTCCAAAATGAAACACACAGAGAAGAGGGACTAGTAAAACAAAGTGAAAAAAACCCAACCAACGAAACAAAAAAACCAAAAACAACAACAAAAACCCCAAACCAACCAATCAGAGCATCAATGAACCCAATTTATTTATTTAATTTTTATTGTTTTATTATTCATATGTGCACACAATGCTTGGGTCATTTCTCCCCCCTGCCCCCACACCCTCCCTTACCACCCACTCCGCCACCTCCCTCTCCCCCCCACCCCCTCAATACCCAGCTGAAACTATTTTGCCCTTATCTCTAATTTTGTTGAAGAGAGAGTATAAGCAATAATAGGAAGGAACAAGGGTTTTTGCTGGTTGAGATAAGGATAGCTATACAGGGAATGACTTGCATTGATTTCCTGTGCATGTTTCCCTTTCTAGGTTAATTCTTTTTGATCTAACCTTTTCTCTAGTTCCTGGTCACCTTCTCCTATTGGCCTCAGTTGCTTTTAATGTATCTGCTTTAGTTTCTCTGTGTTGAGGGCAACAAATGCTAGCTAATTTTTTAGGTGTCTTACCTATCCTCATATCTCCCTTGCGTGCACTCGCTTTTATCTTGTGATCAAAGTCCAATCCCCTTGTTGTGTTTGCCCTTGATCTAATGTCCACATATGAGGGAGAACATACGATTTTGGTCTTTTGGGCCAGGCTAACCTCACTCAGAATGATGTTCTCCAATTCCACCCATTTACCAGCGAATGATAACATTTCAATCTTCTTCATGGCTGCATAAAATTCCATTGTGTATAGATACCACATTTTCTTAATCCATTCGTCAGTAGTGGGGCATCTTGGCTGTTTCTATAACTTGGCTATTGTGAATAGTGCCGCAATAAACATGGGTGTACAGGTGCCTCTGGAGTAACCTGGGTCACAGTCTTTAGGGTATATCCCCAAGAGTGGTATTGCTGGATCAAATGGTAAATCAATGTTTAGCTTTTTAAGTAGCCTCCAAATTTTTTTCCAGAGTGGTTGCACTAGTTTGCATTACCACCAACAGTGTAAGAGG